CGCACACATGCACACACACACGGGTGTGCATGCTGACAACACGAATAGTCAAGCTTGTCTCCACGAGCGTCTCCACATACAGTCACCAAGTGACTCATGCCGGTTCAGTTATGCATGCACCCTCAGGCCATTGTGCTTGTGTGCATGCTTGCATGTATGCATGCATACAGACATACAGACAGACGGGCTTGTAGACAGTAGGCGTATCTCGTGCCGGATTCACCTCGATGCATCGGGCTCGGGCAGATCGTGTCTGTGGCAGACCGTCTTCTCTACTCCTCTCCGCAAGTGCATGTGCTTGTCAGCTTCCGTCAGTGTCAGGGCGTCTTGCCTGAAGATGGATTTTACCAGATTACCGAGTTATTAGCCTGTTTGTGCCTGCTTGTGCCCGAACCTATAACCGCCCCTTTGCCCGGTTCCCGCCGGACACGACCTGCCTCGACGGCCCCGAGTCTGGAATTCCGTGGGAGACTGAATCTCAGACACTGCGGTGAGTGAAGCTGGGAGACCTCCTCTCCTTTATTGCTTTTACCAGTCCCTGCCCCAGTTACGGGTTGCTCCGCCCCTCAGTTATGCCGAAATACCTGTGTCTCCAGGGCTTGGGTCACCCGAGTGTCTGGCAGACGCGGCACTGCCATTTGCAGAGTCGGAGGGACCTACCGCCACCTGGCCAGTTGCTATGCTTTCAGGAGCACCGTCTACGCCCCTTTCCAATGGCCCCATTTCGCCTCTTTTTCGAGTCTACAAGTAGCCTCGTTGTAAAAAGAGCCTTGGTCGTGTTGTCAGAGCAACATTGAAAAGATGCACTCCCTACTCTGTTAGACCGTCTCCCAGATTTGTTGGTTTCGTTGCTAAGGTTGAGGCGGCTCAGTAACAGTGACAACTCTGAGAATGAACACAGGAGATGCCCGCCATAGTCCCTCTGAAAGCATGACCAATCTGCGAAAATGAAGTCATAGCTACCTCAAGTGGTATGCCCGAATGGCTTAAGATAATTTAGGAATTAGGAATTAAGAATTTGTTATAATCTCGAAAACTACTTAAATCAAAAATAAGTAACGTTATTTAATCCAGCTCTTATTCATGATTTACTGGTATTCTCGAAAACCTGTTTGTAAATGAAAACTAGGCTATATAGTTGATTGCTATAGCAACTAAAAATTTGCTTCATCCTCAATCCAGCTACACATTATGATGTTGGGAAGGCCTGACCTCCCTTGAAATGAAGGTCTTTCCTATGGCCTAGGGGGACTCGTGACAGTATGGCGTAGTTGTTAAGCTGTCAAGACT